TGAAATACCGGAGGCCTTAAAGAGTGCAGACATAGCTCCTTTGCACAAGGGAGGTAGTAGAGCACTAGCTAAAAATTACAGACCAGTAGCCCTAATCTCTCACATAAAAATCTTCGAAAGAGTGATGAGACGGCAGATTACAAATTTCATGGACCAGCACAACCAACATAACCCGAACCATCATGGTTTTAGAGCAGGACGATCATGCCACAGATTTTGCAAAGGCGTTTGACAAATGCGATCATGGAGTGATAGAGCACAAAATGAAGGCCATGGGCATTACGGGGAAGGTAGACAGATGGATTTTCGGTTTCCTAACACACAGAACACAAAAAATAGTAGTGAACAGGGCAAGATCCAGCATCAGCGAGGTCAAAAGCTCAGTGCCCCAAGGCGCTGTCCTGGCACCTCTACTGTTTCTCATCCTCATAGCAGACATAGACAAAAACTACCCGGCACACTTTTGTATCATCATTTGCAGATGACACTAAAATAAGCATGCAAGTCAGTACGGTAGAGGACACTGAAAAAGTACAGGAAGGCATAAACAGGGTTTTCCAGTGGGCAGTGGAGAACAACATGACGTTCAATGGTGATAAGTTCCAGCTGCTTAGGTATGGAAAGAATGACGAACTCAAAAGGAACACTACATACAAAACTCAAGAGGGTCACCAAATAGAACGTAAGGAACACGTAAAAGACCTGGGGATAATTATGTCAGCGGACCTTTCTTTTCAAGACCATAACAAGACAAAAATCACGACAGCCAGGAAGATGACGGGGTGGGTATTGAGAACTTTCAAAACAAGGGAAATAATGCCGATGGCTAGTGCTCCCTCACTTAGAACATTGCTCAGTGCTGACGGTCCCGTTCAAAGCAGGAGAAATATCGGAGCTGGAACAAATACAGAGATCGTTTACGGCTCACATTGAGCCAGTAAAGCACCTAAACTACTGGGAACGCCTGCAAGTCTTGAACATGTACTCATTGGAGCGGAGGAGAGAGAGATACATGATAATATATACCTGGAAAAATACTTGAGGGCCTGGTCCCAAATCTGCACACTGCTATAACAAAATACTGGAGTGAGAGATATGGGAGGAAGTGTAAAATAAACCCAGTGAGGAGCAAGGGTGCGGTGGTGGACAACAAGGGAACACTGTATCAACATCTGAGGTCCCCAGACTATTCAACATCTTACCAGAAGATATCAGAAACACGGCTGGGACGAGTGTAGAAGCCTTCAAGAGGAAACTGGACAAGTATCTTCACCAGGTGCCAGGGCAACCAGGCTGTGATGGATATGTGGGGGCAGTGGGCCTCCAGCAGCAACTGCCTGGTTGACCAGGCAAGCACCAGACGAGCCTGGCCCATGGCCGGGCCCAGAGAGTAGATTAACTCTCGGCCGGGCCCAGAGAGTAGATTAACTCTCGAAACTCTTCAAAGGTATAAAGGTATATCAAAGGTTGAACAAGTGTCTCATTCTTCAACTTGTCGGTTTCTAAATCCATTTTCCTCACGTCAATAAACAGACCGATCACTATGGTTCCAAATTAATCCTTATGTTAAATCTGCATATTAAAAAAGCTTGACCCATTTCAGTTCGATCCCGTTTCCCCTACTGCTGTATGACCCCAACGGATTTGGCGCTTGCCCTGAGATATAATAATTGTAATAAATGTGACCTCCTTGCTGGTCTTCTATTTTCGTTTGATAGATGAAAGCTGTACGACGCACTGTGTCTTCCAGAAATGTGAAAAAAGACATATCTTTTCTCCACCCGTTTTGCCACGAGTGGAGAAACGTTTCCTCTAATAAAATGTACTGAACCGTACGATAAGTGTCTTTTTCCACATCTTGTCGGTATCACCATAACATTTTTCATTCCAGAAATGATCTGAAAACTGTTTTGTGTGAAGGGTCGTCAAAGATTTTGTATTTAGGTTTCTAATGGACATTCTGAAGTTTGGTAGGTTAGCTCTATCCCTCAACGGGAAGACCAACGCCGAAGGATAAGCCATAACTGCAGGAGCAGAGAAGACAGGAGGAGGACCAACAAGAGGAAAAGAAGGAATAGAAGTAGGATTAAAAAATGAGTAGAATGAGGCATAAATCGAAGGAGCATAGGAAGCATACTGATAAGCAGGAGGGGGGGAGGAGGAGGAGGACGAGAAGAAGAAAGAGGAAGAGGAGGAAGAGAAGGAGGAGGATAAGGAGGAGGAAGAGGAGGAGGAGGAAGGGCTCTCTGGTAAATTTTGTTTGCATCATGGTCTTCACTCGTGGTCTGAAAGAGAGAGATTCTTGGAGCGGAAATTCATCTATGTGGCAACTCAGGTGTGGAAGGCTCGACAGACCAGCGAAGATGTTGCTTCTTGTGTACTTCTGAATGTTTGTGTGGCTTTTAATACCTGGTTATAATCTCTAACTGTGAATCTCTGTTCGGCTGTGCATAGTTGGGTGGTTGTGAATCTGCGTGTATTTGTGAATATCTGTTAAGTTATGAATGGGTAGTTTGTGCGCAACTAGCCGTTATTGTCAAGGTGATGTATACGGACTGAACAATAAACTAGCTGCTATCGTTCAGATGATGGATATGGAGTGAGCAATAAACTAGCTGCTATCGTTCAGATGATGGATATGGAGTGAGCAATAAACTAGCTGCTATCGTTCAGATGATGGATATGGAGTGAGCAATAAACTAGCTGCTATCGTTCAGATGATGATATGGAGTGAGCAATAAACTAGCTGCTATCGTTCAGATGATGGATATGGAGTAAGCAATAAACTAGCTGCTATCGTTCAGATGATGAATATGGAGTGAGCAATAAACTAGCTGCTATCGTTCAGATGATGGATATGGAGTGAGCAATAAACTAGCTGCTATCGTTCAGATGATGGATATGGAGTGAGCAATAAACTAGTTGCAATCGTTCAGATGATGGATATGGAGTGAACAATAAACTAGCTGCTATCGTCCAGGGTATGAGGTGCACTAGCCACTATCGTCGACGGGAATGGCTCCTGGGTGTACAATAAACTAGCCACTATTGTCCAGGGGATGGCTATGAGGTGCACAATAAACTAGCCACTTCGTGTCCACAGTCATCTGCTAACTCTTGTGTTGCAGGCGCGTACATCGACAAGCCCCACCCACTATCATGTTGTTGTCGGCCGTGTACTGAAGGGTTCCACGCAGACTCTCTGCGCTACTCCATGCGTCGTATCCACACGTACCGTGCCCTGGCCTCCCCTGCCTGGATCTCCCTCACCTCGGAGGATCCCATCCTCGCTGCTTTCAGGGTGAGTCTCCTGCCGCTGGTATTCTTCTGCTCTGTATTCTAAACTTAATTCACCTTTTTATCATTTGAATGCCAGGCTAAAAGCTGTTATCCCACCCCAGCTTATTTCATGGTTCAGTCTTTTCTCGAGGTTGCACTGATGCTGGTGAGGGGCACTTGTTCCAAGGAATATGATATTCTCCTTTACCTTGGATCGAACCTGACACCACTGTTGCGTCAGCACTTTTCCCCTGATTAAAATAGAAATAAGGAAGCTACCTACAACAGTGGACTTACACCCGGGTACCTATTTACTGCTAGGTGAACAAGGAACATCAGGTGTAAAGAAACATGCCCAGCATCTCCATTCCTCAGGCACCGTTTCTCCTAGGGTTTTAGCTGGCTATATGGGTAGCCAGCTGGCCCAGTGGCTTACGCACTGACCTGGAATTTCACGACTCACTCGCCATGGGTTCAAACCCCCACCCGTTCCATGGTTTAACTATGGATGACTACTCTATTAAATAGGTGACATTACTTGCATATGTTATATTAATCATTATATAACAATCATAATAACTGTGCCTTTACCTTAAAAACACCTGTATTCTTGCCTGTAATACTGAATAATGAACATATAGCACGTGTCTGACAGTTGTCATGGGAACTGGAACGACTGGCGAGAGTTGAGAACGAGTTCAAGGACACTTACCTGGAGCTGAGTGATCAGTGTAAGAAGTACACCTGTGAATTGTTGCACCAGTGTCGCTCCACCCAGGAGGTGAGTAACAAAGTGGTTACACCTTGGAGGTGAGTAACACGGGGGGTTACACCCAGGTGAGTAACACGGGGGGATTACACCCACGAGGTGAGTAACACGGGGGTTACATCCAGGCGAGTAACACGAGGGTTACACCATGGAGGTAACACAGGGGTTACACCTAAGAGGTAACACGGGGGTTACACCTAGGTGGTGAGCATCATGGGGGTTACACCTAGGAGGTAAGTAACACTAGGGTTACACCTAGGAGGTGAGTAACGCGGGGATTACACCTAGGTGAGTAACACCAATAATAATAATAATAATAATAATAATAATAATAATAATAATAATAATAAAATTAATATAATATAATAATAAAATTAGTAATGCGAGCAATATTAACAATATAATAATAATAATAATAATAATAATAATAATAATAATAATAATAATAATAATAATAACTTCACCAGGTGATCGCAGTTCTCAACCGGCGAAGTGAGGAAGACTCAGACGATGACGATGACGAGGATGACCCTCAACAGTTGAAGCTTTCAAGGCTTAAGCTGGCGCTCAAGTACGACCAAAAGCAGGTAAGGACAGTCTTATTAGCATATCCTTGGATCAAGAGCCCTTCACCTGTATCAAGGCACTGCTGCTCTTAAAAGAAACGAGAGGCTTATTATTATGATTTAATATTATCATAATTATTACTGTTTGTTCGCTACCAGACAAGACTTTTTTAAATGGATCATTAAACTGACAAGTTGATAAATGATAAACATGTATAACACTTAAGTTATCTTTATTCTTCCAGAATAAAGATATCCAGATGTTACACGTCTTATCAAGAATATTTTAACACCTAAAATCGGCATCAAAGTAAATGCTCAGCGTATATACGCCGAGAGAAATATGCCTCTCATGTATATTTCCTGGCGGAGCTTTCCACAGGTACCTTAAATAACATCTAGAATTTTTTAAAAGCTATGTATCTTGTAAATTATTATTATTGATATTATTATTATTATTACTATCTTCCCCCCTGGCACAGTTCGTGGCACATCCGAACTGCCAGCAGTTGTTAACGTCTGTGTGGCACGAGGGACTGCCCATCTGGAGACGCAGGAATGCCCTAGTCAAGATTTTGCTCTGTCTCTCCATTATCCTGTGTATGCCCATCATCGCCATTATTTACCTCATCTTCCCCAGGACCAGCCTGGGCAGGGTCATACGCTCCCCCTTCATGAAGTTCATCTACCACAGGTGAGACGGAGGCAGGGAGGGAGGGAGGGAGGGAGGGAGGGAGGGAGAGAGGAGAGAGAGAGAAGAGAGAGAGAGAGAGAGAGAGAGAGAGAGAGAGAGAGAGAGAGAGAGAGAGAGAGTGACATACACCGGGTACTTCCACAGGTCTAGGGGGCTGAGTGCAGGAAAGTTATCCACTAACGAAAAGTCTTTGGTGATTAAGGCCTTTTTTCCCTATATTCTCAATTTGATCTGTAATATACGTGTGTTTATATATATATATATATATATATATATATATATATATATATATATATATATATATATATATATATATATATATATATATATATATACAGTGGACCCTCGACCAGCAATGGCATCGATTAACGATAAATCTGACTAGCAATACATTTTATCGCAAAAATTTTGCCTCGATTAGCGCTAAAAAAAACTCGACCAACACTATTCCTTCCGTCTGAGACGCGTCCACTTCTGGCCAGTGTTTACAAGCCAGCCATCCACCGCGGTCGCTTCCAAGCATACAATCGGAACATTTCATATTATCACAGCCTTTTTAGTGATTGCACCTGCAAAATAAGTCACCATGGGCCCCAAGAAAGCTTCTAGTGCCAACCCTACAGCAAAAAGGGTGAGAATTACTATGGATATGAAGAAAGAGATCATTGCTCAGTATGAAAGTGGAGTGCATGTCTCCGAGCTGGCCAGGCTGTACACAAAACCCCAATCAAGCATCGCTACTATTGTGGCCAAGAAAACGGCAATCAAGGAAGCTGTTCTTGCCAAAGGTGCAACTATGTTTTCGAAACTGAGATCGCAAGTGATAGAAGATGTTGAGAGACTGTTATTGGTATGGATAAACGAAAAACAGATAGCAGGAGATAGCATCTCTCAAGCGATCATATGTGAAAAGGCTATGAAGTTGCATGACGATTTAATTAGAAAAATGCCAGCAACTAGTGGTGATGTGAGTGAATTTAAGGCCAGCAAAGGTTGGTTTGAGAGATTTAAGAATCGTAGTGGCATACATAGTGTGATAAGGCATGGTGAGGCTGCCAGTTTGGACCAAAAAGCAGCTGAAAAATATGTGCAGGAATTCAAGGAGTACATAGTGAAGGACTGAAACCTGAACACGTGTTTAATGGTGACACTGACAATGTTGTGAAACACGTTAAGAATGTCATAAAGGAACGGGGGAGGTACAGGCCTCTATGGGCAGATATGTTGTGCGACAGAGGTCAGTGACTCTCAAGCTGGTCCTAGTGGCATTAAAAGAAGGGAAGTAACCCGAAAAAGGACTTGCCACCTCAAGTCCTAATGGAAGGGGTTTTCCCCTTCTAAACACTAAGACCATCAACACACTCCCCTCTTCCCATCCCATCAATCATCACCAGATCTTCAATAAAGGTAAGTGTCATGTAACTGTGCATGTCTTCTTCAGTTTGTGTGTATTAAGATTAATATTTCATGTGTTAATTTTTTTTTTTTTTCAATACTTTTGGGTGTCTTGCACGGATTAATTTGATTTCCATTATTTCTTATGGGGAAAATTAACTTGACTAACGATTATTTTGACTAACGATGAGCTCTCAGGAACGGATTAATAGCGTTAGTCGAGGGTCCACTGTATATATATATATATATATATATATATATATACATAGGGAGGTACCACCTCTATAACTGGACTAGGGACCCTCTTCCTCAGAGAAGACAATAAACTGAAGGTTCTCCCCGGAGCTGTTTGAATATTTTCTTCTACCACCCCCTATATTATATATATATATATATATATAAAATATATATATATATATATATATATATATGGAGGTACCACCCCTAGAACTGTCATAGGGACCCTCATCCTCAGAGAAAAGAATAAACTTGCTTCAGGGAAAACTCAAGGTTCTCCCTGAAGCTGTTTGAGAATTTTCTCCTAACACCCCCTATATATATAAATATATAATTACCTAACTTTTACCTTTAATCTATAAACCAAAATAACGATGAAAGATGGAGGGCTATCACATCAATTTATAAATATTTTTTTCTAATTTTCTAATATTTTCATTAATTCTGTACAGTATTATAAAATCGTATATTCTTTTTTTTTACGTTAAGAGCAAGACACTAAAGAGTCGAGGTTAGATATGTCATCCAAATTTCCCTAACACCCCCAACAATTTTTTCATATCTTTGTACAATATTTATCTTGCTTTACCTTCTGCAGTGCCTCCTTCGGACTGTTCCTAGTGTTGTTGGTGTTGGCCTCTACCCGGACAGAGGGCAGTGAAAGACACCGGAGGAACCTCCGGGGACCTGCGCCAACTTTTGTGGAGTGGTTAATCTTCTTCTGGGTTACTGGCATGGTGAGTACTTCAGAGGGCATGGCGAGTACTTCAGAGGGCATGGCGAGTACTTCAGAGGGCATGGTGAGTACTTCAGAGGGCATGGTGAGTGCTTCAGAGGGCATGGTGAGTGCTTCAGAGGGCATGGTGAGTACTTCAGAGGGCATGGCGAGTACTTCAGAGGGCATGGTGAGTGCTTCAGAGGGCATGGCGAGTACTTCAGAGGGCATGGTGAGTACTTCAGAGGGCATGGTGAGTGCTTCAGAGGGCATGGTGAGTGCTTCAGAGGGCATGGCGAGTACTTCAGAGGGCATGGTGAGTGCTTCAGAGGGCATGGTGAGTGCTTCAGAGGGCATGGCGAGTACTTCAGAGGGCATGGTGAGTACTTCAGAGGGCATGGTGAGTGCTTCAGAGGGCATGGTGAGTGCTTCAGAGGGCATGGTGAGTGCTTCAGAGGGCATGGCGAGTACTTCAGAGGGCATGGCGAGTACTTCAGAGGGCATGGTGAGTGCTTCAGAGGGCATGGTGAGTGCTTCAGAGGGCATGGCGAGTACTTCAGAGGGCATGGTGAGTGCTTCAGAGGGCATGGTGAGTGCTTCAGAGGGCATGGCGAGTACTTCAGGCCATGGTAAGTGATTCAGAGGGCATGGTGAGTGCTTCAGAGGGCATGGTGAGTGCTTCAGAGGGCATGGTGAGTGCTTCAGAGGCCATGGTGAGTACTTCAAATGGCATGGTGAGTGCTTCAGAGGGCATGGTGAGTACTTCAGAGGACATGAGTGATTCAGAGGGCATAGTGAGTGCTTCAGAGGGCATGGTGAGTGCTTCAGAGGGCATGGTGAGTGCTTCAGAGGGCATGGTGAGTTCTTCAGAGGACATGAGTGATTCAGAGGGCATAGTGAGTGCTTCAGAGAGCATGGTGAGTGCTTCAGAGGGCATGGTGAGTGCTTCAGAGGGCATGGTGAGTGATTCAGAGGCCATGGTGAGTACTTCAGACGGCATGGTGAGTGCTTCAGAGGGCATGGTGAGTACTTCAAAGGCCATGGTGAGTGATTCAGAGGGCATGGTGAGTACTTCAAAGGCCATGGTGAGTGCTTCAGAGGGCATGGTGAGTGCTTCAGAGGGCATGGTGAGTACTTCAAAGGCCATGGTGAGTGATTCAGAGGACATGGTGAGTGCTTCAGAGGGCATGGTGAGTGATTCAGAGGGCATGGTGAGTGATTCAGAGGCCATGGTGAGTGATTCAGAGGCCATGGTGAGTGATTCAGTGGCCACTGTGAGTGATTCAAAGGGCATGGTGAGTGCTTCAGAGGGCATGGTGAGTGATTCAGAGGCCACTGTGAGTGATTCAAAGGGCATGGTGAGTGCTTCAGAGAGCATGAAACAATAATAAGGCAGGTAATTCCTCAGCATTGTGAAAAATTTTGGAGCAGTGCTAGGAAGGTCCTGAACATCGCTACAGTACATCAGGGTTTTAATTAAAAATTTTGAGGTGCCGAATGATTTGACTATGGACGTAAGTTTACATGTAGCTCTTGGGATTACGAAATGTTTTATCAATAAACTAAGGAAAAGAGGCAAAATATGTAAAGGTGTGAAGCACTGTGTTTATATGCAGCTGTGTTGATGTTTCACTGTGTTTATTTGGTGATAAGTTCCGTCCTTCACCTCCTCCCATAGACAAAGGAGAAACACACAATGAACTCTAGCCTTACAAGCGTAAGTAATTAAATAAAGCGGAATTAAGAAGATACGAGGAAGAGAAACTGTTTATACTTCTAAGAATGTTTGAGCAGATGAACCTATGAGGGATTTCGTAAATCACAGAATATATGATAGCAAGCGAGCTGAAGAATGTTGCAATCTGTGGAAAAAAAAGTGGTAATACATGAAAAAGAAGAGAATGTACCAGATTGATGTCGACGCTTTCGTTTGACTGTGAAGAAGAGTGCTGTGTGCTGCAGTAAGAAGGGAAAGACGGAGGCAAGGAAAGTGTGTATGCTAATATTATGCAAATAATAAGGGATGGCTAAAATTAAAGACGGTGTAGTGGTATGATACACAATACAGACAGCAAAGGAAAGGTCGCAATGAAGTCTTGATGTAGAAGGAAAAAATATACCAACAAAGATTGATGAAGAGTGTGCAACTCTAGGAAAATATGGAGGTGAGGCCTATTGCTAGAATATTACTTCACCCATTAAGTTTCCTCTCCAAATTTTGGGTTAGTTGTGATTTGTTCCGGCTATGGTACTACAATTTGTTGTAATTTGTTCCGGCTATGGTACTACAATTTGTTGTAATTTGTTCCGGCTATGGTACTACAATTTGTTGTAATTTGTTCCGGCTATGGTACTACAATTTGTGTTTTACAATATTACTTTTTATAGTAAGTTAAGTATAGTAATACCATATGTGAGTGTGATCATCACACTGATAAATTAGACACATGTGCAACTTGGGTATTTTTAGTGAGGAAACGTTTCGCTACACAGTGGCTTCATCAGTCATATACAAAGGAGAAAGATGAATATCAGAAGGAGTTTGAGGTAATTAGTCCCTCAGCCTGGAGTCGATGTAATCAGTCCGTCAATCACATTGATGGACTGATTACATCGACTCCAGGCTGAGGAACAGATTACCTTAAACTTCTGATCTTCGCCTTTCTCCTTGTATTGGACTGATGAAGCCACTGCGTGGCGAAACATTTCCTCAATAAACATATGCAAGTGTTGCACATGTGTCTAATTTATCAACTTGTCGGTTCTCTGAACCATTTACCTACAATGATCACACATGTTGCAGGTATGGGCGGAGTGCAAGCAGTTGTGGGAGGAGGGACTGACAGCTTATATACGCCAGTGGTGGAACTGGCTGGACTTCATCATGCTCTCCCTCTACCTCTGTACCTTCAGCTTGCGGGCCGTGGCCTTCGTTCAGATCACAACAAACAAATATGGACCCAGGTGAGGAATCCTTGGCACTTTGCAATTAATGTTCAGATACCAGGTGAGGGATTTATGGCCCTATGGAGGACTCAGGTACCAGGTGAGGGGATGTATGACCCTATGTGGGATTCGATTACCAGATAAGGGATATGTGACCTGAAAGACTTATTTATCAGGTAAAGAATACATGACCCTATGTAGCACTTGCGTCCCGAGTGAAACATGCTGATTATGACACCAGGTGATACTTTTTGCCACAGGGTGAAACATCACTGGAATATATTTCTATGTGATGTGTCTATGTGGCTCTGGTCGTGACATAGATACTGAATATTACCTCAGGACTCACACATGGTCTGGTTGAGATATTCACATTGAAAGTGATTTAAAATGAAACAAATGACCATTGGTGAAACACGTTCAGAACATGATCTCAGGGATGGGAGATGTCATTAATGAACACAGTTTATTAGACCCACGTGAGCTCTATATATAGCCCAAAAGCACAGTGTCAAACCTGGTCCAGGTCTGACCTGGACCATCTTCAAGTTGTGACTGCGAGAGGAAAGGAAAGATAGCTAGAAGTAAGATAAAGAAAAAGTTTACATGAAAGTCGAGGACTAGGCAAGAAAGGCTAGAAAACAGCCAATATTTACTTCAAGTGGTAAGTGTTTTGGGGATCGGAGCAACTGACAATATATTGGGAAAGATAAACATCGAGAGGACAACCAGGACTAAGGTTCATATTAGTTATAAGGGTTAGTTAATCCTACAAAAGGGCGTCTGTGAAGGTTACAAGTGGGATATATAGAGTTTTGACAGAGGACCAGTTTATGAGTTGTGATCCCTAACATGACGGTCCAGTACTGACCGAAACGTCATCAAAAGATTTATCTCCAGTTTGCGAGTTACTTGTAGATGATTCCGAGCATATTATTTTGACTTATTCTTAATTATATCTTATGAAGAAGTTAACTGATCCACGGTTGCTCTCTTCCCTTGTCAGTTACACTGCTTGACTATCCTTTTAACTAAAACAGTACAACCCTACCCTCCCCCACCCTCCTATGTCTAAGTGCATAAAAATACTACATGTCTACAGAGGAAGATATTTGTGTAAACAAAATAATCGCCCAACTCACAGTGTTATCCAAGGAATAAACTTCAATAGCACACTTAATAGAATCATTTATCTGAGGTACACTCCATCGCTGAACCACGCTTAGCTAACAGGCTAGCCTCTAGCCCACACAGTATTAATTTTTGGTCAGGAAATTGAACATGGCGAAAAGGTGGCAACATTTCAGCCAAATGATAATATAACAGTTTAAAAGGGTTATGATTTAAGACAAATGAATACAAATCCCAGACAGGCTTCTCCGTTATCGCAGGAGGAAAGGGAGAAAACCTAGCTCATCTGGTATATTGAAAATGGTCACAGTAACTTTTTGACTGTGGTTGTCTTTTCGTATAGTGTTGCTTGAGTAACTTAAACCTAATATATTTAACTCCTGTATGTGTATCCGCCATCCAGTGGCTTTATCAATACAAATTCAAGGACATAATTGGAAGACAGTAGAACCACATACAGATGAGGCCGAGGGGCTGATTACCTCATCTCCTGTATACTGTTCTACTGACTTCCAATTATGTCCTAGAATTTGTATTGATAAAGCCACTGGATGGCGAAACGTCTACAATAAAGATACCCAGATGTTGCACATGTATTTGTTTCCTCTCACAGCAAAGTCAAACTACTGCCATTATTCCATCCTGATCAATCCTTATCTTTATACATTCTTACCCTAGCCTCATCAATTCGACCTTCTGTCCATCACCTACTCTCCAGAAAGCTGTTTTCACTCTCCTGTGCTCTCACGACATCAAGGAAAACGTCACTCTCTGACTCAACCCTTATCCACAGAGAGGTTCCACGTGCTCAGTGGCCAGCCAATGACCCAACGCTCATCGCTGAAGGCGTGTTTGCTGTAGCCAATGTCTTCTCCTTTGCCAGGATCATCTACCTGTTCCAGACTAACCCTCACCTTGGCCCCCTACAAATTTCTCTCGGCTGCATGATCATAGGTATGTCGTTGTCAATATTTGATAGAGAAAAAATCTACACAGCTATTGCACATTCATAGCATATATATGCAATAAGATCACAGCAAACAGGTGATATCACAATATGCATTACAACCACTGTAAATGAACAGTGAATTTCCAAGCGCTTTCGTGATTTCTCACATTATCAAGGAACTTGAATAATGTGAGAAATCACAAAAGTGCTTGCAAGTTCACTATTCTTTCACAGTGGTTGTTATGCATAGCATTATATAATATATATATATATATATATATATATATATTATATATATATATATATATATATATATATATATATATATATATACAGAAAGTTTATTTGCATACATTAATGCTAAAATGTAAGGTTAAGGCTTATCTTTCAACTCTTCTAAAGAAATGTGGTCCAGAATTTAGTAGCCTTGGAGAAGGAAAAAACAGGAGCCTATGGCTTGTAAACTATACTTGCTGATAAAATAATTTTATAATCAAATAATCATTAAAATGGGGGAAGTTGTGCTCCCATGTAAATCAACTCATGGCCCTCGACAGTAATTTCTGAAATTATAGACTTTAACATGTTTATCTTCATACATGCAATTTGTCCTGAACACATGCGAGAGCTTCTTGCAGAGACATGCTTCTGAAAACACAGCTTTCATCTTTGTGATGTCCTTCTTATACAGAGACATGCTCTTTGGCACAGAGCTCTCTGTGATATCCAGGTCTTTAGAGCAGAGCTCTCTGTGATATCCAGGTCTTTGGAACAGAGCTCTCTGTGATATCCAGGTCTTTAGACCAGAGCTCTCTGTGATACCCAGGTCTTTAGACCAGAGCTCTCTGTGATATCCAGGTCTTTGAAGTAGAGCTCTGTGATATCCAGGTCTTTGGGGGACATGCGTCTCAATCATCTCCCACTTAAATATGGTTCATTTCCAAGTCGTGCTTCGATATCTGGAACAAACCTTCCTTGTGGAATTGCAGACCATTTAGTTACCATGGTTTCGCATGTAAATCATGGAGAGGCTAGACTACAAGCCCAAAACGCAAAGGAATGAGTGTTGTCACTCAGTGTTCGCCCATGGTTCTTGTATGTCTGGGCCGCTTACAAAGATCAGCAGACAGCATCCTTCCTTGCACTCTTACCTGGATCCAGGTGGTTTACTGCGACTAAAGTGAAGAAAAGAGACAGGCTGCAGAACTAATATTTATTGATGCAGTTTCTCTGTGTAGAGCTTCATCAAATCATGACCTGATAAAGGTTTAGAGCGAAACGTTGTCACAATAAAAGCTTGTTCTGAAACGTGTGCCTTTTTCTTCACAGCTATCTTACATCCCAATGTACAGCTTGCAACTCTCCCTACTACTGTTCCTTCTTCTACTCTTTGCAACTCTCCCTACTACTGTTCCTTCTTCTATACCTTGCAACTCTCTCTACGACTGTTCCTTGCTCTACACCTTGCAACTCTACAACTGCGCCATGTTCTGTCTACTCTAACACCTCATGCTAGAGCAGACACAAGAAGTTTCCTGTTACTACTGAAAGCACTTAACATCTGTGTATCCAGGGCGTCTTATTTATTATCATCGGGAGAATGTGAGGTAATCAGGAGTGATCCAAGGTGGAGTGGAGATGTAATCCACTGTAACAAGAGCCCTTCAACGGCATGAAGCCCTTCAATGGCATCAAGGACGGACGAGCAGAAGTGATCCAAAGCATAAATATTCAGCAGAAAGATACACACTGTGTTATAAATGAGGAGGGTGTCGAGAGTGAAGGGCTCTTGCTCATAAAAAATTGAGCGACCTTTTCCTGCCTTAGATCAAAGCTAATCGCCTCAGATTCCCCATGTGCTGCACGGCACCTGCTTGGTAAAAGTGTCTTATGGGTGAAACGTCGTACTGATAAAATATCTTTTGTCATGAGTTTTTTTTTTCCAGTCTCTTGTGGGCTTACTATGATGCTTAAACTAGGGAACTCTTCAGAGTCATACACAAACTAAGAAAGCCTTCATAGTCATACAGAAACTAGGAAATACATCTCAGCCATAATCATGACTGGGAAACCCTTCACAATCATACTCAAACTTGTAACCCAATAATACCTCATTGCCATCCCAAATCGAAATTTACATCTATTTCCTCTCCGGATTGCAGACATTGCCAAGTTTTTGTTCATCTTCTTCCTGGTGCTGACAAGCTTCGCCTGTGGCCTTAACCAGCTCTACTGGTACTATGATCCTCCTAGCTCCTCGTGCAGCAACGCTGCGTCTGGGGACACCTCCTGTCACACTGGCTCTGACGCCTTCAACACGTGAGTCACGATTCTCAGATTGGCATGTCCTTTTGTCAGCTGAGGAGGTTGTAAAACGAGGATGTGTGGTTGTGGTGTGATGGTGGTGTGTTGTAAAGCGTTTGTGTGGTTGTGGTGTGATGGTGGTGTGTTGTAAAGCGTTTGTGTGGTTGTGGTGTGATGGTGGTGTGTTGTAGAGTTTGTGTGGTTGTGGTGTGATGATGGTGTGTTGTAAAGAGTGTGTGGTTGTGGTGTGATGATGGTGTGTTGTAAAGAGTGTGGGTGTGTGTGGGTGTGTGATGGTGTGTTGTAGAGAGTTTGTGTGGTTGTGGTGTGTTGATTTGGTGTGTTGTAAAGAGTTTGTGTGTTTGTGGTTGTATGTTATATATGGTTTGTGTCTGTGGTGGTATGTTATACATGGCTTGTTTTATGTGGTGGAATGTTATGAAGGGTTTGTGTGTTTGTGGTGGTATATGTACATGATTTGTGTGTTTGTGATGGTATATTATGCATGATTTGTGTGTTTGTGGTGGTATATTATACGTACATGATTTGTGTGTTTGTGGTGGTATATTATGCATGATTTGTGTGTTTGTGGTGGTATATTACACATGCTCTGTGTGTTTGTGGTGATAATAATATTATACAGGTTTGTGGAGGTGGTAACATGTAATATATCACAGGGATTTTTGAAGATGAAAGTGTTATGTAAGGGGCAGCAGCATCTGTAAAGCTAATACAAGTCGCACAAGAGATTTTATGTACATGTTGTGAAGTGTCTTTATATAGGTGGGTAAGTGTGTGTATGTGTGTGTGTTAATACATATTTCTAGCTACATGAACAGAGCTATGCTTGTAGTACCCCATCTGTATTTATTTCGTCATATATTTTTTTCAAGTTTCCAGTAGTTGTAGAAGACAATAACTCTCTGATACAACTCCCCCTGTTTGTGAAAAAAAAATATTTTTATTCGTTATTTCTGCGACCATATTTTTTTCCTCTCTCTTTTATGAAAGCTGACTCTCCTCTGTGTTTGACTTCCGTCTCTTCCTCAGTTGGTTCCGTGTAATCCTTATCCAACAGCTCGTCTCTATTCATTCTCCTTGATATTTTCACTATTCACACTCCTTGCCAGCTCTGGAATCGTCCTTACCTTATTTTTTTTGTCCGAGAAAACCAAGAAAACTTTAGATGAGAGCAGGCAATAATGTTTTTCACACAGCATTTACATCCAGATAGCTACAATTCATTCTCTTGTGAGAAGACTCTCAGTGTGTTGCTACGCTACTCTGTATGATAGTTACATTAAGGGAACATGAGCTATGTTTTCCCTGTTATATTCCATCACATAGGATGTATACACAAGAAGATGATGAAATCTGTCAGTCACAGCTGGGAGACATCAGTAGGCCAATGACAGCTTCGCGAAGTTGTCAATATCCTTGCAAGCTAAACGGTTTCGTTCCAGTAAAGTTGAAGCAACTATTGCGAAGGAATTAGTATTTCTCAGTATTGCCTATCACACAACATATTTAACACACACACACACATTATAATATATATATATATATATATATATATATATATATATATATATATATTATATATATATATATATATATATATATATTGTCGTGCCGAATATGTAAAACTGGTCAATTAGCAAGAACTCATTTAAAATTAAGTCCTTTCTAAAATTTTCTCTTATACGTTTAAAGATATATTTTTTCATTAATGTTGATGTAAAAATTTATAATTTTGCGCCAGAAGGAACTTAGAAAACTTACCTAACCTTATTATAACAAGCGCAATATATTTTAGCCTAACCCAACTAAATATATTTTAAATACGTTTACAGTAATTTAATACTAAACAAACACAGTGAAATATATTTTTTTCGTAAGGTTCAGAATGATTTTGGCGAAATTATTGCATACACAAATTTTCACTTGTCCTATATGGCAAGATGAGCGTTGCTATTTAAGCCAAGATCGCAAGTTTTGCCTATTCGGCACGATATATATATTATATATATAATATATATATATATATATATATATATATATATATTATATATATATATATATATATATATATATATATATCATGAATGAACACAGAAGTGTTTTTGTTGACGTTCCTAAAATTTTTAACAATCTTCTGGAGTTCATACATAACTCTAAAATAATGGTAATTTATTTAAATTTCCTATTGATCTCTTCCTAAATCTCTTCACAAACTCTTGATTCTCAATACAAGTAACGAAGGCTTCCATACTTACAACCAAACATAAATTATTCACCTTTTCAAGGAACTTAAAATATTTGGAGAAAACAGCACTAAATGAGGGAAGTGCCTAGACGCAAGAAAATATAAAATAGTTTCATTTATATTTCTTCTCTTCTGTTGACTTACATTTTCCCCCATAATTGTATATACAATAATTACCGTATTTATTCATATTGAACCATGGTTATGATATGAGCTAATGAATTAACATTAAACTATTGCTTCACTTGGCACAGTAACTCACTCATCTGTAGATTCAATTAGATTACAAGATCTGTACATTAATTGTATACAATACCGACAAGACGAAGAATTAAGACATGTGCAACATCTGGGTATCTTTATTTGTAGACGTTTTGCCACCCAGTGGCTTTATCAATACAAGGGTATCATGCCGTTATACTGTACTGATAAAGCCATTAGATAGTGAAACGTCTACAAAAAAAGATACCCAGATGTTGCATATGTGTCTAATTCTTCATTACAAGATCGGCTTTGATTCAGTACTCCATATTATTTGATTTACTGCTATCCACAGATGCACGCTGATATTTTGATTCACATTGATCTACAGAACCACTTTGTTTTACTGAGTTCGAGCTAGAGAACAAGTTTGATATAGATGAATGGTTCAGAGAACCGACAAGTTGATAAATTAGACACATATCCAAGTGTTGCAAGTGTGTCTAATTTATCAACAAGTTTGATCCATTGATTCACTGTGATCTACAGAACCAGCTTGTTCTACAGAATTGATTCGCTTTGATCTACAGATGCAGTTTTATCTATGTCACCTGTGATCCACAGATCCAGCATGATCCATAGATTCCCAGCTTCAGTCTAACTTTTCCATAACCCCTGATAAGAATAACTGTCTAAAACGGTCATTTTGATTCATGTATCGAGAATTATCGACACACATGATACTATACTTTTTTTTTATTTATAGTCTTGCTCTTTTTATGTTTTTTCTATGTACGGGTTCCCATGAACCACTGAAAACAGTGTGAGTATTGCTCAATAATAACCCACATGGAGACAGAAACACACAAGGTTAATTGATTTGTATATTTCGACCCCCTTCTGGGATCCTCTTCAGCATCCTCTGCAGAGGATCCCAGAAGTGAGTCGAAATGTACAGATCAATCAACCTACTGTGTTTCTGTCTCCATGTGGGTTATTACTAAGCACTGACAAATGTTTATTAAACTCTATTATTATTATAATCAACAAAGAAGCGCTAAGCCACAAGGACTATACAGCTTATTACACTGTAGCTATTCAGTGTGGACACTGTTTATGTTTTCAATATTATCAAAATTTGACTAGTAACTAGTGTTTTATGTTGGTCATTAATGCCGAGGTTAAATTAGTATTTATTTACATATTTAACTAGGAATACTACCAATCTAGTATTATATTTCCTCTCACCAGTATTGTATTTTCCTACAATATTTGAACTGAGTATGATTTTGGTCCCTGACTCGGGTCTTGGTCATGTGATGACCCGTCACTCAAGGGTCTTTAAATTCCACCCTGAAAGTATATTTTACATACTTCACAATGTGAATTATGGAACATTAGTTTTTAGATCTTTATTGGGTAAAATTTTTATTGAAAAATTGTCTTTTGCTATTATGACCATTTCCGGTGTTTTTCCTACTGCAGAATATTCTGATTCTCAAATTTCCTTAGTGACATGATCAGCATTTATTAATTTATTATTCAGCATTTATTACCTCTAAAATTTGTACACAGATTAGTCAGTCATCTCTTGCTAATTGACTCATCACTGTTAAGTTCATCAATGTGATTCATCATTGACACACTTTTGACGATTTATTTTTTTTTTCCAATTTATTAACTATTTTGTAAAATTAATACATTGTGCTTCATTGTTAAATTATGACTGCACTGAATGTCCCTACAGATTTAGCGCTTTCGATTATTACAATAATAATACATTCTGTACACTTGATAAGGTTACAATCGTGGGCTATTTTGACTGGTATATTTATGGACTAACTTTCACTTTTTAAATAATAATAATAGTAATAATAATAATATTTATGTTTGATAAGGTTAGAATCGTGGGTTATTTTGACTGGTACATTTATGGAGTGGCTTTCATTTTTTTCAATAAGCTTTAATTCACTGTGAATCATGTATGCATCTTGGGTTGATCTTCCAGTTTTTTCTACTGAATCATTCCTTCTTGTATTAATGCCTGTGTGTTTCTCGCGCAGTGATGGTGGCGAGTACAAAGGCGGCTTCAAGACGTGAGTGACACTTTCTGGTGCCATCCTACCAAAACACCTTATTACTTCTTACCTTTAAAGGTTGCACTCGTTCATCACCCTTAAGAGGCTATCCTTGTATGCTCCCTTAAAGACAGACTTAAATGGGTTTTATCCTTTGGACTTTATGGGTGTTTGGAGAGGATATCCTCATCTTTTCCCCCTTTGAAGGGTGCCTTTAATCGCTTTCATGGAAGGTCACTATACTTGGCTCCCCTTAAATATTCATGGTAACCATTATATTCTCTCTCTCTGAACGTTCCCATGACGTAGTCATCCCTAGAAGTAATCTGTATTCATTTTCCCCTTAATTTGCACCTAACAGCTGCCTTTAAAGGTCAAAGACGCGTGTTCTTAGGAGTTGATCTGGAAGGTCTGTACTCTTAAGTGATTCTTATTAATGTTAAAGTCACGGGTAAGCGCCAAATCCGAAG